TAAATTGTGGGTGCATGTGACTGTATGTTTTAGAGACAGCACATGAACTTGTTTCGACAACATTGGATCCGTGAGCACATAAGTCTTAGCTTGACGTAGGCGCCAGTGGCAGCTAGCTTTTACGCCCTTGAGGAGCGCTACAAACTAGAGATTGCAACGAATGAAACTTCTTGAGGTGGAAGAAGGCACTCATATGCAGAGATCAAATAGAAGAAACCACTAGGGTCTTCCACAGTCCCTCAGGTTAAGCATGATACGTTTGGTGTTGGCGGCCGGTTTGTATCTGGCAAATGTAGACTGACCGGTAAACGGATGGTATAAGGAGATAGAATTAGGTAGATGCAATACATATTTGTTTTACTGTAAAAATGTGGCTACACTCATCTAGTCATGCATCTGCGAACCCCGTTACTCTTGCAGAGGTAAGTCTCATTTATGCACCCCCGCGTTTTTTGCGGCCGGATAGACGAAGAACTGTGTTGTTCATGCATATATTGAATGATGCACACGGCAAGCTTGTTTGTAAAGTCAAAGAAATCTTTCCGTATCTATGGATAAAATGAGTATGCGTTCGTCTGTCCATAGTTAATGTTCATATTTTGTCTCACACTACGACACACATTAGACTAGTCTGTGGCCATGGATAATTATGTAAAACTTCGTCGAACGGAGTTTCTCGTCGTCGGTTGTTTCAGTTCTCATATGGATGGCTTCCAGGGCTGCAACAAAACCGGCAGCGTCGGTGGCGTTAGAACAAGATTCATACCGGAATACCCGTAGTTAGTGCTCTGTTAGTTAGGGGAACGAGGTATGAACTAAATTTGAGTTATTCGCGTCCGACGGTTGCAACTCATCCCGTTTCTACTTAAAATATTACTCACTTGTTGGCCTACTTTACCTATAGTCTTGTTAACGGGAGCTTTATATCTCCGGCATCGTGGCATCAGTCCGTCTTCAATACAACAGGGCAAAAAACGTGGTTGATTTTACGTTGCTGCTTTGCATGCAACGAATATCTCTCAGTCGCGAACTGTCTGAAGCGCACGGCGCCCGAATATTAAACGAATTGAGCCGAAAGTTCGCATGGTATGTGTATAAGTAGAGGAAATTGACGGGCAGGCGCCAATAAAAAATCGGTGAGGCTAGTCCGGAGATGACTGCGCATGGCTCTATATACCGACAAGATATCGATAATGGCAAAAAAGGACCTGTAGTTTCACCATTTTCTGCTTCCTTGCCCCCTAAACCCCTTTCTCAGATTTTTGCTGAACACACCGGTGCATATTCTGGACAGATCCTAAAAAGAAGAATAAGATATGAAGGCGTATTTTAATTCTGTATGAGCTTTCTTTCTGGCTCTCGGACTAAAACCTAACCTTTAGCAACTTGAGCAGTACTGCTTTCTTGTTGATTACTTACCGCTCCCAATCTCGACAAACAAAGGAGGTGAGGTTTTCGGTCTTCGCGTCGTTTTCGTGCGCATGTTTATCCTCCTATGTCTTTTATCGCCTCGCTTATTTAGCTTATTTCTGTTTTGGCTTTTGATCCGATACTTGTTACTTTTGATAAGTGTCGTCGAGAAAGAATGAAAGCGAATTTCGTCATCTATATAGATGTCGACCAATTCGGCTATTGGAGCTGTTTTTGCCAGTTTCTGTCTTGTCAGTTTACTTGCCTGAACTATCAGATATTTCACTGTCTATCCTACTCTTAAACACACTTTTCACAGTGATTAGTTAGAAACGACCGGTCAAATATTCAGCAAATAACTGAAACCTGTGGTGTTCATAAAATTGGGATATTAACCTCGCGTGTTGCTGTTTTAGGCTCTTTCCCAATTTGCCTATCCACCAACTGATAAACTTTGCACACCCATGGTCATACTAGCTTGCCGGCTTCTTTAAATTCCAAAAGTCTGGTGTCAGAACTTATAAATGTAGCTTATTTGTGTACCTTAAACTTTTTTTGTTTCCTTAGACTTC